AGAATGATCTACATGATGGTGACACTCCTTCACTCACAGTGAACGACTTCGTGACCTCCGACTTGTGGCGTTTGCAGGGGTTCCCTCTTGACAACGTGCCGGCTGGGCTGGGCGAGAGTGAATTTGCAGTTCCGAGCTTGAAAAGCCACCTCCAGTGCCACGACTCTCGTCGGAATTTGACAGACAGTCAAGAGACGAGTCAATGGCTAGCTGGTGAGAGCATCATGTCGAAGATTGTCACCTGCGCTCTCGGTAGCTAACCTGGCATTTGATTCATTTTGAGTTTGAGTTTTTGGTAAATATGTCATTTCAGATCTGTCCGCTTGTTGAAAAAGCATCAACTCAGTTGACAGCTTTTGGCTTGGTGTTAAGTAAATCCAAGGCGATCGAGCGAAGCGGGCTTGTGTCATTCACTCCACTGCTTATTGCGGGTCTTTGGAGAAGGCCTGTTGGAAGATGCAAATACCCACGTTGGGTGTCACCGACACGCCTGTCTACCACGCCCACACGAAAATGGCGCTCGGAAATATGATGCTTCAGGACAGCATAGACAAAAGGAATCATCAACACATTGGCATTTGGAAACTGTCTTGCTTGATGTTTCCTAGCTGTTCCAAAAGTCATTTGTGGCGGGGCTGAATACCGTGGTCCTTCATGTTTTTGCCTCCAGGAATGGAAAAGTTGCACTGGCGTGATGGGCAAGTTGCACCCTCGCTTCAAGGCTCAACCTACAGAGGATGCGCCAATGACCATTGAAGTGCCGTCCCTCCTGGTCTGCTCCATTGATGGTGATGTGTTGGGCATTCCTCCCACCATTCGGAATCAGTATATTGCGGACCCAATCCGCGCTCCAGAGTGGAGGAAGTTCTTGACTGCCTTTGATCAGAAGTGGTCTGGACCTGTTGATGCTACTCGTGCTCCTGTTCCTACGGAACCTGAAGGAGAAAGCGCTCTTGTGGACCCAGAAGATGGTGCAGAGGGGGCTGTCGTGAACAATGCTTCGGCTTCTCCCTCTTATGATTGGAGCAAGGCGTTTGCGGGAGAGCCCAAGACCAAGGCTGAGTTTGAGGTGAAGTACACATCGCTGCACAGCTTTGCCATGAACAACAACCTCACGGGGCACATTGTGGAAGGGCCCAAGCTCTTTGCTGTGGCAACGGGTGACACAGAATGGACCAGGGAAGAACCTATCGTTACCTTTGGGGCTGGAGTTTGGCTTCTCGATGCAAAAGCACAGGCGTACCAGCAGGAAGAGGGTTCTTTGTTGCTTCTAAATGTGTATTTTTACAAAACATAGTATATATAATATTCATCCTACACAGAATTTGAAATAGTCACAATTTATCGTAGTTTTACATCAGCACACAAAAATGACTTCCCGCAGGAACATCCTTCCGAGGGCTACACCTTCAGTCTGGGCAGCGACCAAGACACTGTCGTTCTGGAGGCTGGATTCCTTTGGGTTATGTCTCTGAACCCAACCAACTTAGCATTCCCTTTTCAGTCAAGTCTCGGGAAAAATCTGACCCCTTGAAGGACACCGATGAAATGATGGAAATGATGGAGAACCCTTGTCCTTGAGGGAGGCGCTCCAATCATGTGAGCGGCAGGGCCTCGTCGACTATGAGCTTGCTGGACACAATTGCGCCAGGCCTGCCGAGGTGTGCGCTGGCCAGGATGAGCAAGACAGGCCCACCGCCAATGTCAAAAGTCTCAGGTCCGTTCCAATGTGCCAGAACAAAATCTATAGGCACCATTTCATGTTCAATTACTGGCCCTGCAGGTTTACCGTATCGTTGAAGGAGGATACAACCATGCTTTGGCGTCCTTCCAACGTCCAATTGAAGAATGTCAAGCACAAAAATGTTGCTTCATACTTTGAGGCTCGGCAGGTGCTTGCATCGGAGGCAGTGGACCAGGCCATGGTCGATGTGAGTCATGGTTCTCACCCAACATGGTTTTAGAAACCATGAAGCATGACTGCAACAAAATAGATAATAAAATGCCCGGGCCAACCCTCCTTAATTACTCTGACCGATCCCAATGGTCCAGGTGTGGCGGATCCGAGCTTACGCGGAAGAGAAAACCATAGGGGCTGCAAAGCCTTTAGTGCTACTCAAAGGATCCTTGGCTTTGCCAGCAGGGCAGGCGCAGCGTCTTCTTTGAGGATGTCTGAGTGCGATGAATCTACGGGTCCTGCCTAACCGGCCAGCTCAAAGGAAGTTGTGACATGTGACTCTTTCTCTGAAACATGGACTCAGTGAAACGGAAGATCATCGTGATAGCATCTGTTGTGGGCTGGTCAGGGTGAAACAGGCTCCAGTGGACTTCCTTTTGAGCGGGGGGGGTAGCAGTCATTTGGGAGGCCTTGTGTAAGAAGACTCTCGTAAACCTGCCAAAACTTTTAGACATAACGCCAAACATGTCATTTTGTTTGTTGGGGAGCCATCCCTTCAAGACTGCTTGGGGGTTTTCATAACATCACCACACTCTAGAGCAACCACGCCAGAGATGAAAAAACTCGGATCCGCCTTCGCCGCGGAGATGCAGCACTCAGCACGCTCTCTTGGCAGGTGTCCTGCAAGCATGTATGGTAGCTGCCCATGGTTAGTGGCTCCATTTCTATAGCTGGTGTTTGATTAGGCGTTCATTGCTTGAAAAAGCCATGGCAAGCCAATCCATGGACATCGAAAACGACAGCTTTGAGGTGGTGTGGATCCCTACTGCTGAGGAGACAGTGGAGTTCACAGCACCGCCACCCCCCTCACAAGGATTTCATTCTATTTCCCCTACAATGCCCACTTTCTTGGCCAGTGAGAAAACGGAGTGGTGTGTCAACTTGGGCAAAGCTGAACCAGTCCCATTTGCACCATCTACAAGTGCAAGGCACTATGTTTTGTTTGTCTTGTCACGTTCAAGAATTGAATCACAAAAGCTATCATCCACATTGCGCCCCCCAAATGTAAAACTATTGGACTATTGGCAGGTCACCTTCACCTTCGCGGAGACCACCTTTACGGTTGATTCCTTTCTGTGAATCCCCACCTTTGAGAACAGCTGCCAAGAGCAAGGCAGGGCCGCCCGATTTCCCAGAGAATGCCGTTGGAGACGAGGTGCCGGTTCCAAAGTGGGTCAGGAATATGGACCGTGCCGCTGGTGGCGGCCAGCCATTGCCGTCAGTTGCGAGGGTGCTGTTTCCAGAGGGGGAGGAAGGCCGTGGCACTGGTGGCAATAAAAAGACCCACCCATTGCCGCCGGTTTCAGAGGTGCCGGTTCCAAAGGTGGTGGAACCGGTTGGGGAGATGGGCCATGCTGAGGAAGAAGAGACCCCGCCATTGAAGCCGGCGTCAGAGGTCCCGGTTCCACAGGTGGTGGAACCGGTTGGGGGAATGGGCGGAACACTGGCAAAGCGGCGCAGGCTTGGCCTGCCAACCGCTCCTACTCCTGTGCCTGGAGAGTCAAAGATGGTCAAACCACCCAATCATCCCCAGCAGCTGCCCAAGCCTCGCCAAACCCATGAAGTGAAAACCAACACTGCTGAACGTCAGCCTGATCAACGCAAGCCTGAACCCTCAATGCCTGTTGATGATGTTGATGGGCTTTCCCAGAAAACGTTGGTCCTTGGGCAGTACGGGGATACCTCAGAGCCAGAACAGGAAAAGAATGACACCCAGCCAGGAAGTTCCAAAGATCGCCGTGTAGAGAAGAAAACAAAACAAACCCCAGAGGAAAAGGCACCCGTACATCGGGCAGCTTCCAAGCGATGGCATGACAAGTGGCTCAGTAAGGGGGTTCCACGGGATGGCGACCCGAAGCAAGCCTCCAAGAAGCCCTCCCAGAAACCTTCCGAGAAGCCCTCCCAGAAACCTTCCGAGAAGCCTTCGAAGAAGCGCTCTGGCAAAACCTCCAAAAAACCCGATGTCCCCAAGGAGACCTTACTACCTGTAAAGGAAGAAAACATGGTTGAGTTCAAAATAATCTAGCCCTGTTGGGGATCAGGTACTGAATTGGCAAAACTACTGTAGTAGTTACAGAATTGGCCCAGTAGAATTGCCCCTGAAGGAGGTGCAGGAGGCCATGACGAAGGATGGCTTGGACCTCGCACTTCCCGACACCAATGACCTCCGTTCATGCAAGGGCATCTTCATCCAGGAGTTCATCAAAAAGCTAGACTCGCACGATGAGGGAGGGGAGACCGAGGGTAGTGTTCTTTCCCGGGGTCAGAAGTACCAGTCCGCCACAACGGCTTGGATGGCTTCCCATTTGAGAGCTACTTTGATGGCTGCAAGAGCTAAGCCATCTGCCTAATCTTCTTGCTGAAAGATGCAAATTCTGTTTCAAACATGCGCTTTGGGGTTGCGCGCAGTGAAAAGTGATAACTTGCACCATCATCGAACCCAAAAGCCGAAACCATCGTCATCGACTCGACCTTCCAAGAGAGGCTGACAGGGCCAAGATCTTCATTTTCACCTTCCGTTTTTGCGCCCTGTCAACCTCTCTTGGTCTCCTCCCTTACAGTCGGTCCTCCTCCCTCGCAGGCTGGCGCTGGCTGGGCGCAGCTGCTGCCACCGCGGGGGGTGGCAAATGCCACAGGGGTGGAGGGAGGGCCCCCAGATCTAGATACCTTGAATTTAGAGCCAGATACCTTGAAATTAACTTGTTTGTGTTTGATCCTTTCCTAGCTGCAAGTGACAAAGGTATTATCCACGGCATCTGGCAAAGAAATGATTTCAGACTGCATTGCTGGGCGAGCAACGGTTCACAGTAGTTCATAGAGGACGATTTTATCTAGGGTCTGTCCTATTAAATATTACCTGGAACAGTCAGTAAACAATCATCATCATTTTTGAAGAAAGGCTTTACTAACCATCATTATCCACTGTGCCCAAGTAGTATACACCCAAATATTATCTTTCAAAGGCACTCCAGCATGTCACAAGGCTGGTGCTTTCGATTGCTTGGTCACAAAGTACTCCCCGCGTTCGCTTCGCGGACTGGAGGACCAAGAGGAAAGGGATGCCAAAGAGATCGCTTCGATCGTGAAGGCCTACGTGGAGAAGCCCTACGTCATTCCTGTGGCTTTATGCAAGGCGCGGAGCAGCTAACAGATGCATTTAGCAGATGCATCTTTTAGATGATGCAATACCATGAAGAACTCGACGCTCTGAAGTGTACTTCTGGGTCCCATGATGGTTTGTTTCAGTATTTATAAGTCCGTGACGGGTACCGTCGTTTAAGCCATGGACCGTGGATTCACAGGAGTTCGTCACCGCTTTGTTCCGAACGCGCTCCAATCGGACTGAGGCAGAGAAGTCTGAGGAAACTCAAACGGACATGGAGGCGTTGAAAGGCGTTGGACTCAATCCCAAGAAGGCCTTGGTGATTGTGAATTACTTCAACAAGCAGCTCTATGACCTTCACACCTTGTCCGACTTCAATGACTACTGTGAAGGCTACCTGGCCAAGTTCCACCGAGCGCATTTTGCCGCTCGGCTCAAAAAGCTGGGTCACCTTCACCCGTGAAATCTTCGCAGATTCGATGACCACTTGACGCTCTGAGCGGTTTCTCTGGGCTAAAGAATGCACGTGAAGCAAGTGAAGCATGCGCACACAGATGACACTCCCTGAACCAATCATGAAAGTGGAAAATAGACCCTTGCAAAGCATTATGTGTTCATCTACGAACAGGCGGTGTTCCACTTCCATGTCAATGAGAGGACGCCCTGAATGCTACAAGTCCTGAAGATGCTTCAGAATTCAAGGTGCATGCGGATTACACATGGTCTGGTTTCTGAAACATGTTTCGACCAACGCTGCCGGGGGTTCCCACAACAAACTTGCGTGACCAGGCCAATGGCTGACACCTGACACACCTGAGGTCACGAGAGTGGGCAATTCCGGAAACGAACAACGGGCATCACTGGCGTAGCTCGTTAAAGGGCTATGCGCGGCATCGCTGAGGTCATGTTGCACTTCAAAGATGGGATCAACAAGGACAGAATGAGCTTTGAGGAACTTCGCCAGTACTACGAGAGGTTGTGCGAAGAGGAACCTCGGCAGGACCCGCGCAACAGTGCATTGTTTCCTAATTCAGCTTCCGCCAGGCGCGATCTTCCAGCACTTTCACAGCCTAATTTGGATGACAGTTTGTTCCGGTATTTTGGTTGCATCATCCCACTCCCAATCAAGTGCTCGGAACCAAGACCAGTCATCGGATTAGTAGTAATCAGTGGTATTGGTTGATTTCGGATTAGTAGTATCAGTATCAGTTGTATCATCCCAATCAAGTGCCTTGCCTTGTGCAGCCAAGGAAGAGGAGACCATCAAGAAGAGGATTGAGGACTTGAAGCATGAGCAGGAATCCAAGACTGAGGCCCGAATTGCTTTGGATAGTTGGTCAAGAGCTAGGACCAGGAGAAAAAGAGCAACCACTTTTGTTTTTTTCGTTTGATCAAAGCCCAAGTTGAATGCTCGTCGAAAGAGATGGATCCATCAGCACGTTGCGCTCAGCAGCACGTTGCTCGCTGCCATCCTTCCGTGGGTCCCAGGTGTCTCGACAAGTCCAGGAAGCTCTTGGCATCAAGTCGGCGTTTGGGTCGATGCAGTCCAGATTGTCCGCTTCTCAGGAAGCTCTTGCGACCGGGTCGGTGGAGGGGAAACATCCTGAGGCGTTCATGGGGGTTTTGCCGGATCCTGTGGCGTTCATGGGTGTTCTTACAGGTCAGTTGAGACATGCGCCACTTGCAAGAGTTCTAAACATGCTGATAAAAGGAGTGCAGGGGCAACCAAATTCAACAAGGTATCATACATGCCTGATTGCAAGAACATGAGCAGCAAGATGGAATACGATGTTCATTTTTGAGGGGATGAGCAAATGAGCCAGCACCAGCGGTTTGAGAGCCAGATACTGTAACGACCACGAGGGCAGGATTACAAAGGATGAGGTGAAGAACAAACGGTGCTAAGCATGAAGAAGCAAGACAAGGTCTTTGAATCTCTAAGAAGACAGCAGTTCCAGTGATGAGAAATTCAGCCCATGGGAGAGAAACCTCCAGAGAATATTGCATGGGAAGCCTTGAGGGACAAGATGAGCACCTTACAGCAAGTATAGTCAGTAGTCTATGCATGTCTATGCTGCGCGCGTACCTGAACCACCCTCCTTCCCCTGAATGATCAATGGGTGCAGCTGAGCCCTTAGCACCCTATACCATCCTGCGACGCTGGGGATTGTCAACCAACTCGACTGGATTCATGCACGGAACTACCAAAATTCGCTCATGGGTGTGGAGGTTGGACTGGATGAACGCGGAGCGCTCGAAGATCGGGGGTGTCTTGAAGGAGATCATGTGCTGCTTTGGGACATGTGGACATCTAGATAATTATTCCACAGAGCAAAGACAGTTTTGATCCGGACACTGTAGAGGGTGGTTTTGGAGGACCGTTTGCCACCATAGTTACTGTCATACCATGGACAGAAGACATACCCCGAAGTAAGTTGGAGAAGCTCTTTTGCTTCGACCTGCAAGCTTCTTGTTTTTATTTTTATTTTAGGTGGGCGGGTTTGGGGATTCGGGATTCTCTTCAGGTTGCCAGACTAGTGCGGTGGAAAGCATTCCTCAAATCCAACAAATCCATATACAGATCCGGCATGAATTTGCAGTCCCCCAAAGCCAGGGAAGGAACCCCAGTTAAAGCCCAAGGTGTGTTGTGGGGACAGGAGCCCTCCACACCTATTCTGGTGAATTCACCTTTAAAGCTTCTCATGTCCAAGCGGAAGGGGTTCATCACCTGGCCGTCCCGACCAGATGGTTTGGACTCTCCTTGGGTTCCACCAGAAGCTCTCTCATGGTAACTCGTCGTTTTAAATTCGTTTATTCTTGGGGGCTCGAGCTGGGCTTGATTTTAATGCTGGGAGGTTCCTAGGTCTCCTAGGTCGACAAGGTTGCTGTTACAATCGGTTCATTCCACTGAGACGACCAAGTCGTTGCATGTGGACCCATCACACCGACATGGTTGTCTAGGTTTTGCATTTGGAGGCCAGTGTTTTCTTCCAGGACTTAGACTTATCATCAGTGGAGACCGGGTTGAGTGGAGGGGAGCCAATTGCAGGACTTGGCGCCCTGGTTTCAACTCTTCTTGTTGTCCTTCAGGTCCAGAAACTAGAATCGAAGCCAAGAGGCCAACAGGCCGAAGCTGGATTGCTACAGGGAATACCCAATGCATCAATGCGTCTTGTGACTTTACAAGGTACCTCCTTCTTGGCCATACCGTGCCATATATCCATCTTGTACGCCCGTTGGCTGGGCGGGGCGGGAGGAGAGATTTGGACCTCGCCCTTGAACGACCTCGTCCCGTGTGCAGGAGAGGGTGAAAGCTGTTTGCAGCGATTGCCAGATCCTGAAAGAGGCTCTCTCGGACACTGACGCCGAAGCCATGCGCGAAGGACCCTCGGCCGAGTGCAAGCCGCAAGCCCGACCGAGCCCAGATGAGTGACTTCTGCTTTGGAGAGGAAGTGAAAGATGTGAAAGACCAGATTTGGGGTGCTTGGTGGGTTGAACATATAACAGGTGACCTGTCTGGGCTACCTCTCGGAGTTCAGCAAACATTCCCTCTAGAACCTTTTGGGCTTCACTCTATGATGGATCACCTACCCACCATCCACCGATTCTCACACCGGCCGCCCTCGAGTCTCGTGGGAGGTCGTGTCGGTCGATGGGGGGAATTCGGTCGTGTTGCTCCGGAGCGACCGGAGCCGGTCGACGACTCTGTGCCAAGCCCATGAGCTGAAGAGCCGAGGATGCGAGCAGTATTTGAGGGACTGGGTCAAGACGATGCGGGGGGCGCACGAAGCGAAGCACAACTACATCTTGTCGCGGTCGAAGCAGGAAGAGGAACAGGAGGAAGAAGATGCCCAGTTGGGCCGGCAACTCCACTGGGCTTCCTGGGTTTTGCTGTTCAGACAACTTTTTTACTTTCCCTATACCCAGACACTCCATGGGACTGCCATATATGCCGATCAGTTGGGGTGGTTGAAAAGGGGTCAATGGATTCGATGTAAATATGCCATACCTGGAGTGTCTGGGATGTGTGTAAATCCCCTTCTGAAGAATATTATAATGTTTTCTTTAGGTTCCTGGACAAGCGAATCCAAGGCTTATGATACGAAAGATCGCTGCCTAGCCCATACCTTTGAGGAGGAAGATCCGGGGTCCCGCGTGTGAAGTGAAGTGACGCAGCTAGGCTCTACTACCACCCTGGTTGTTTGTCCTGTTCGTTTTCCGTGCTCAACCCGTGTCCGCCAGTTTTGACGCTGAACGTGGAGCCTTGAACGAGCTCATCCACACAGGCTTCAGTCGTACCTCCTCAGGTGCGATATATGACTGGACACACCCCCCGACCTCGAAACGAAGGTACGACTGGAGCCCGTGTGTCGTGTGGGTGGGGCGGGTGCACTTGGTTCGGCTTTTACCCCGGTGAGGAAGGTCGCGTGATGTGGTCGCGTGACTCCACCACAAGGCCAGAGAATCTCCTCCGGGTACTACCGGTCTACCACGGGGTGGCGGGTTTTGGAAGAGACCGGTCCTTGGAAGCCCAGTCAAATGACTCAGAGACGACCCTCTTTGAAGTGGTTCATGATCACCAGGTGTGATTCCAGATGAATCAAAACGGAAGTTCTGAAGTTACACTGCAGGACTTGACCGTCTTCTCTTTCCAAATTCTCATTCGATTAGACCTCCTCAAACGCCCTCCAGGAGTGGAGAAAGGTGCCCAGGGCGGTGAAAGACAAGCCGACGAGCAAGTCATGGAAGATGGACAAGTTACAGGAGGAACTCCAGCGGACACACACTGGCGAACTGATGCTCATGAATTTGATGCCCCATGCAGCGTACTCCCGCAGTGTCAAGGTCTACGGTCAGGTCATTATGAAGTATCCTATGCGGAAGTTCTCCCGCGCAGATGTCTACAACATCAGCGGCCATTGCAACGACGGCATGACGGGAAGCTTCAACAAGCACGCAGTGCTGAAGGAGATGGTGACTGAGCGACTTCTGGACCTTCAGGATATCGTGGAGGCATTGTTGGAGCACATCAAAGTGATCTATTTGGTGTCTTGTCTTTCAACGTGCTGCACATTTTATGGCACCGGTCGGGCTGGTGAGAAGAGATCACTTTCTATGACCCTTATGAGTATAATAAACATAACATACCCTTCAAATACCCGGACGATCCATTCTTTATGATCCTACATTGGCCTACATTCACCAGGCCCCAAAACCACTGAAAGGTCCCGTGGAGCGTCTGGGATATGGTTTATTACCCTGCGAGATGTCCATCTGAGAGATGGTCTCAGCGATTTTTTCGGTGAACCGGAGACATCGAAACCGTGTTTCATCCGAACCGTTGTGGGCCGCCCTCATCCATCAGCTTTATTGAATAAGACATGAGGCAGCCGGCCGCGCCGGGGCGTGACTTCCTTGTTTGGGCCCAAAGGCACCATGTTTCAGTTCTTTTACAATATTTCTCAGTGTGAAACCTTTGAACCATGACTGACGGGGTACTGCTGCATGGCAGTCAGCCTCTGGTCTCACTTGCTTTGGCCTGGCCCACCGAGGCTCCACTGGAGCGGATTCATCAGCTCCTTTCTGGACAGCACCATGTTGTGAGCACCTACACAGGATTGAAGAACTTGATCGATGAGACCTATCGAAAACTCCTCAATGCGCAACTGAAAAAGACCGCGGAGAGAATCCATGAGCACATCCACCAGACCACGGCCTGTGTGTCGGTGGGCCTGCCAACCAGCATTTTGGCTGGCTTGAGTCGGTGAAAGGTTGTTTTTTTTGCTATACAACTGGACATAACCTGGATTGTCTTGGGATGAAATTTGTTTGCCCAGACGCTCCAAACAGCCCTTGGTCCCTCAAAACCTAGGGGTTTGAGACCCCAGACCCCTCCATATGAGGGCCCATGAGCGTCTGGGTGGACATTTTTTCGTTCGGAAGATCAGATCTCGGAGATTTGGAGCTCCGAAAAAAGCCGGGAGCCCCCCAAGGGAGGTATGGGTTGGAGGGGTTTGATGCAACCGGGTCCTGGAGAAAACGCCTTCCCCACCCGATTCCCCGGGGGTTCTCACGTTTTTGGGCGCCTTGGACCTTGGAGTCTGGATTTGGAGGAAGTTCCATTGCAGATCCGGACATGATTTCGGAACGAGGACGGAAGCGGCATTTGTGTGAAGGACGAACTTCCAGTGCATTTGGAATCGATATCATGGCGGCATGGCGGTTGCTGTTGTTGAATATGATGTTTTGGGTTTCCCAGGGTTCTCAAGTCATTCCGAGGACTATTGGCTTTGTCTCTATGGGCAGCAAATCCTGAAGGGCGCATGGCTGAGGAGGACACTCCTGAGGAGAAGCCTGCATCGCACGATGAAGAGTGGGTGCCAAATGATGATGCTTCTGAGGAGATGGGGGCGGCTTCCCATGAGGATGTAGGACATCGGCAGCAGGAAGTGAAGCGGCGCGTGGCACAACACAACACCACTGTGAAGAAAGTGAAGGAGGCCAGGGTTCGCAAGGCTTAGGTTGTGGCTAGCTTGGGTGTACAAAGTTCTTTACATGAGCGAGTCATGCGTGGGTTTTGAGTGTTTTGGTTCCCATGGTCTTCAAAACAACTTGATGACCCACAGCAAAGCTTTGAGGTCTTGCGACCCTTCAAGCAGAGCTTGTCCGTGGAGGAGTTTGTGGAAGGGGGTTGCGAAGACTTCCCACCGGAGGATAGCCGTACTTTAGATCTTGAGCAGTTGAATCAAGATGCGAAGCACTATTTCTTGTTGCTCAAGGGTCTCCTGCTTTTGAACATTGAGATGGCCTTAGACCATCACGTCTATGCATTCTTGAGCGGAGAACTTCTTGGAGACATGTACGACAAGATGTCGCGGCACCTAAACCAAGCGGTGTCGAAAGATGAAGACTTGCGAAAGATGGTTGGAGGCCTTGGGGGTTTAGTCGTTCGCCGTTGCGAGTGAACATGCATGCTTGGTGACGTGCGAGTGAACGGATCAACGACGAGGCGAAGGTTTATTTCACGGTCCCTTGGGGTCTTTCACGGTCCCTGGCCATAGCTGCACGCCCTAAGAAGTCGGGCATGTCCACCGAAATCATGCAGAAATCAGGTGAAGAGAAGCGGAAAGAGCTCCAAGGCGAATTAGACAAGAAGGAAGAGGAGCTGAAGAAGCTCCAAGACGCCCGGTGCAAGACATTTGTGCGACTTGTACTCTTCAGCTCGCTCGCTGATGAGCGGGAAGAAGCACGGGACGGGACGTGTGCACCAGCTTCTTCACGGGTTCACGGCCAAATCGTTGGATCGAGGAGTCCTGGCCACCCTGGCCCCCTGAATTTAAGAGGGTTTGACCAAACAATCCATTGTTCTACTCAGGATTGGACACTCCAAAACCCGGGTCTCGTGCCCCTTTTTTTCGATCTTCGAGGGGAGTTCGAGATGACGCTCGACACCAGTGTCGGGGGTGATGCTACGTCATGGTACTCTTCGGCTCTTGCGTCACGACAGTCGGTGGTTACGTGACTGAGTTCACTCCACCTCCATGAGGACCATGGAATCGGTGTATCTCTGTGTGGTTTGACATAGAATGTTATATATGTCCTTTTGCAAAGAAGGCTCTAGCAGACCCTAGCAGAATCTTCCCCTGCCTTCCTTTCTTTTGATTGAAGTGAGCACCAACTCAACAAAACAGCGAGTTCTTTACCAAAAACCCTAAGCCGACTGATTTCTTATAGTAGTACCACAAAATCACTTACCAGCGACCCCTGTCGTTCAATTTGATTCCGCCGTTCATGAAAAAGACGCCAAGACGAGAAGCGACTGGGGCGGCGCCGAGACGAGAATGGAAGATCTGTTGGACATGTTGCTTCTGAAACTAAGGAAGCCGAGAAGCTTCTCGACTGCAAAGCCGACCTTGGCCGTGCCACGCACGCCGGAGCGTGAGATGGGACGCGGGAGAAAGCCACTGAAAGTGATGTGGCCACGTCTTCCAAGACAAACAAGTGATCGCCTACTGTAATGCATGTATATGTACGTTGCATTGGACATTTTGGCAAAACGCATTTCAACTCCAAGCTGTCTCACAGCAGTACCCAGACACTCCATGTACGGAATATTTGCCTTGACCCCTCAAACCACCCCAATGTAGGTAATTTGTGATATATGCCACACATGGAGTGTTTGGGGTATGAGTTGTTGTGTTCAGACCTCACTCGTAACTCGTGGCAGAACACATCCGGCAGAAGTGCGGCAGAATGCTCCAGCAACCGAGCATAGTATGCTCAGAGATGGACGAGAGAAGCGGCCCATGACTTAAGAGTTCTTGGTCTTGGAAAGCATTCAAAACTTTGGCTTTTGGGTATACAACATTATACAACGGTTTTTGGGTAAACAATTACACTCAAGCCTCACTTGCTGTTACCCGCTTGCTGTTATTTTGGATGTTTCGGATCACATAGATGACTTGAGATCGTTGGAAGGAGTCGAAAGGCCCCCCCCAAAACAACGCTCTCAACACGTTCGTCTCCACGTCCTCCAGAGCGACTTGCTCAGCTCGAATCGGTGGGGAAGCCGACCGGGGCTGGTGCGACCTGCTCAGCTCGAAAGACGAGCTGAGAGAGGAAGGCTGACTCAAGCAAGCCTCACTTTCTCGCCTCCCCTGCAAGAAAAGGCAAGAAGGTCTCTTGTAAGTCTTGGATTGTATACTTCGTGCTTGACTATCTTGACTCTCAGAACCCGATCAACCTGAATGTAGAGACCGTGCGCTTTGATTGGTTCGCCGAGCGTTCTGGTGAGCCGATTTATGTATCGTCACCCTGTTTTCCAGGCACAACGAAACTAGCTGCTTAGGTGCTGAGCTGCAAGACGCGCCACCACACAAGTTGGTGGACCTTGCAGTGGACCTTGGCCTGTGCAACATCAACTGAGAAGTTCCACGGTATTATGTTGTAGCACATTGGGTCTCTTATTTTTAAAGGACAATGATCCGATCCCACTGAATGAACCACCGACAAGAGGGGCTCCTCCTCGAAGTCAAGTTGACCAACTGGGTTGCGATGGATGAACCTGTGGGACTTGTGATCTGGAAAGACACAAACGGTGGGTCTCCAGGTCTCCAGAGACTAAACGTTTGTCATGTGCTGTTCCAAACACGTGCTTTGTGGTTCAAATGGATGTTCATGATTTGTCATTCACGTGGGAGCACTTCTAAACCCTTAGGCACCCTGGGGCCTTTAGGGATTAGGCAGGACAACCATTTTCTGCGCATGCTGGGGAGCTTGGCAGGATATGGCAGGACATTCAATCAGGTTCATCTGTTCTCCCTGGATGCAGTCCTGGTGTACAGCCCTGGTGTTGCAGCCGGCTTGCAAGGTCACACAATCCAGGTTGCATCGCAAATTAATGAAGTACCTTCCTGTGGTCCGGACCGCATGGATCCCCCCAAAAACCAGTGAATTGATGTGATTTGGTATTAGGACACATGCTCTTCAATCCATCTTAGTCCGTCTGCAGGGGGCGTAGCAGGACCATCAGTCAGTGACCGAACCTCTTTCGATGGATTTTCGGTCCAGTTCGAGGTCACGCACTGAAGGCTGTTGGTAATTCAATTCCGGCAGAGCTTGGACCGCGGGAGCTGGGCGCAGGCCAGGAGCAGCGGTTTTTCTTCCCTTTTTTTACATGCACCTTTCTCAGGGTCTTTGTGTTGCAGATTGTTGTGTGATATTTTATGCTCAGGGCTACTCAATGTCATCAGTCTTTGTTGCACAGTGATTTTCTTAGGCTTGGCTGCAGCCCGTGAAGGCATCGTTTAAATCACAGGCCCTTGGACAGTCTGCAGTGAATCTTGTTCGTAACGCGCAAGCGACTGATACACCAGAATGCAACAACCACATGAGAATACCGAAGAAGATGACATACTTTTTAAGGAGCCTCCAAATCATCCAATACCGGTTTGTTGAGGAGAATGACCTCGCAACCTAAGGGATTCCTACATATTCCTACTGAAGAGCAAGGGCCCTAGGGTTCCTGTCCCATCTCAGAAGCTTCTAGGTTAATTAGCTGACTCCCCCACCACAACCACATGGACCCCGACGGGCGAATGGTTGGAGAGGTTGGGTAGCTCCGAACGGAGACCTCTTCTGGGGCCAAGCGGCCGACCCCGCGGGCGACAGCGGCCGCTGGATCTGACACACGCAACCAAGACGATGGGCCCGTGCATGATGAGTTCGAAAGAGCGGCTGCGCAATGAGAGGCTTCACCTGACTTGACATGACTTGATCTGAGACTCTCTGACTTCGACATTTGGCATGTCTCCTGGCGCGGGAGACAGATCGAAGTATGGACACAGTCGTCCTTTTTCGACTTGCTTTGCTTGGATGAATGACCGATTTCCCTGCGTGTTTTGTTATCTTCCAACAACTTGACACGGGCCGACTGGGCAAAGAGCAGTGTGACTGGTTGGAAATGGTCATTGCTTTGCTGCAAGAACAAACAACCGACTCTGCACAGCCCTGCACCGCCCCGCAGCCTGTTGTGCACCTCAAGCACTCGCAGCCGTCGTGTCGTTACGATTGCTTCCTTTAGACTTCAAACATGGCTCGGTCTGGAGCGTCGCACGGGCTGAAGGACCGGGAGCGAGACCGAGAGGCTGAAGTACCGGACGGGAAGCGTTGGCCCCACCTTCAAATCATGTAGGCTGATTAATCACCCCAGCCATTTGATTTGAACATCCAATTCATATGGGGGGTGTATCAATCAAGAGTCTACATTCATGGTAAGTCTTGTTGGTTCGGGCACCCTTAGTTGTAAAGTCGCAACCCTTTGGCAGGTGGTCCTTGGGAAGTGAGTTTCAGAAGAAACCCAGTTGTCCCAGATCCTAGACCACCTGGTGAAGGCCAACCCCAGTAACCACACTACAATCGACACATTATATATATATATATAGAGCATATATACATGCATATATATCTACAACCTGATTGACCCCTGTTTTGGAGCCAAAGCGTATGGTGAAACTTCCCATCAAAGACGGAGGTGCCCGTTTTCTAGGTGTAGCAGCTACATTTGAGACACAGTGACCCTGGAGCTTGCCATGGATTGAAAATAGGTTTATTTTCTGAAAAAATATGAATCTGATGAATTCCTGAAATATGAAATGAGAAAACCCAATTTTAGCGAATATAAAAAAATATGAAAATAATGTAACTAGAAAAAGACAGGATCCCCTCAAGGAACATTTCAGGAATTCTTCAAATCCACCATTTTTCAATCTTTGGCAAGCTCCAGGCTGATTTTCATATTTTTTCATATTATTTTCATATTTTTTGATTTGTTTTTGCATTTGTTTGTGTATTCTGTCCACTTTTTTCCATATTATTTTCATATTTAAAAAGGCGACCATATTTTTTTCATATTTTCAGAATCATATTTTTTCAAATTTTTTCAGAAAAAAACCTAAAGCCAAGAATCCCTATCCTCCAGGGATACGTATGTCTCAAAGCTACATACCACTTCTGAGCTTCCTGGTTCTTCCCCCCCTTCTCGATGCTCGAGTCCAAAGGCGCCAGCTTTGCTGAATGCCTACAGCGCGCTGAAGACGGTGCAGGAGATGGATCCAGACTTCAAGCACAAGGTGCCTCCGCACGGGCATTGGGCATTGGGCATTGGTCAGTTGGTCTGTTTGTGACAGGTTCTTCTCGCTTTCCACAAAGCCGACTTCCAAAAGCCCGCCCGGTCGACACAGTCGCGACGCGGTCGTGCCCTCACCATCCCGTGTGCTGTCGCCGAGTCTGCCAGGTCCGCGTGCCGGTCATGGTCATCACCGGGACCCAGTCGGCGGGCAAGACCACCTTCATCGACGCCCGGTGCTGTCCACGCGTTCGACGCACGCGCGCGAGTGCCTTCGACGCACGCGGGAAATTGGGACGAGCGATTGGGGTGTGGCCGACACTCCACCTCCGCACCAAGGAGGCCATGGTGGGCTTTCCCGTGGGCTTTACAGACCGACGCTTGGTGGGACCGGACACACGCCGGGGGACAGCTGTCGATGGAGTGGTGAAGAGAAGTCCGGTTGGAAAAAAAGAACCAACAGAGGTTAAGTGACCGTAAATAGGACCCTACAGGGGTACCGGGTAGCTATAGGATATAGTCGAATATAGTCGAATTAGGGGTTCTTTAACCTCTGCTTGGAATCGTCACCTGAGTTGGACGTGGGGAAGTTTCGGACGGTTGGGGAGTGCAAAAAGAAATCCCTCGATGCTTGGCGAGTGCTTCTTCGGAAACCAAAGCCGAAGAGACGGTTGTGGCACGGGGAGGATCCAGCGACAGGTTAGGCATGGGAGGATCAGTCCAGCAAGAACATATAGCCTGCAGCCTTTGAGGCTCGGTGCTTCTCGGTGCTTCTTCAGATGTCTTCAGCGTTTCTGAACCCCTCTCAGAGAATCCACTTGTATCTCCCGGTTCGCCGACCAGGTATCTCTCAAGAAGATGAGCACCTTACTTGTTGGGAACTTTACGCATCGAACGTCCTGAACTAATTCTGACAGAAACTCTTATATAGTTGTCATCTATTTCTACTAATTAGTGATAATTAGTGACTGTAGATGCTGTTGCCCTAGTGGGTTTGAATGCCTTGATCCGTCCCCCATAAGTCCAGTTTAAGATTCACCACCTTTCACCAAGAAATCAATTCAATTGGCTGCCTACAAGACCCATTGGAATCATTGGAAGCTATGCAATTAGACCCTAAGGTTCAAAGCCCTGCAACTCAGAGCGTTGGGAGCTTTTTTTGAGGCATGAGGTATTGAAGTAGCAATATGTTTGCACATATTTTTCCGCAATGCAACATGTGACCGTGAGGCGCACCCTGTTCACTCGTTTCCTCTCCAGTGCGCCACACCCTTCACCTGGCTGCCCGTCCACCACCATAGCCTCAGGGAACACGGGCACGCGCTGCCCGGTCCGCTACGTTTTGAGGAGGTCGGAGGAAGCCTGCTACAAGGCCATCTGAATCGACCGAAGCCAGATGCGATGTGCGAGGTGCGAGTAGAGCGTAACGTGGAAGGGGCCTGTCCGGTATGGTTGTGGGGAAGGCACATAGGAAGTCGTAGCATGTTGGCTGGCCTAGTCTGTGTCCACCCGCTTGCAACAATTCCCATTAAATCCACACATTGCAGAAACGATAACATCACCTCCACATGGAGCAAAACATGACCCGAGCCACTGGCTTGTCCTCACTGGCAGAGCCTCGCAGGTGGCAGGACAGGAGCTCAGGGGTCAGAAAGAGGTCCGCGAGAAGGTTACCGCGACTTGGACCCCAATGAGATGGCTCACCGGGGTCGTCGCAAAACCGGGTTGCCCGGAACTCAACTCACGGTAATGTAGACTCTTCATGAATGATCCTCGCATATGAAGAGGTGTTTCAATTCACATCGGGATGCAATCAAGAGTCTACATTAAGCGGCCCATGTCTAGATCTGTCTATTCTGTTCATGTTGGGGAAAGGCCAGGTTTTCTCGGTGATACCTGCCGTCTGACACGTGGGTTTGCTCACTCCGTGCATTCCTTTTTTCGTGAAGAAACCAACCAGAACCTATCTCGGGATAAGTGGACCCTGGCAGGGAAGAGGAGAGGTTGAGGCTCCAGATGCCTCCAGAGCCTTGCACGGCTTCTGTGCCAGGTAGGGGTTGACCACACGTTTTCATCATAAGATAGTGAAGCGGCAGAGGACTAAAGTGGAGAAACTTCGCAACACACCAGCAGAGCTTGGTCCTGTTTTGGAAAGTGTTTGAGGTGGTTCTGTGATGTTCTACTCCAAGATGACTCTAAACTAATCTATATAATGAAGAGGACACTTGAACAGGACACTTGTCCTGACCATTCCGCCATTCCTTTGGACGGAGTCTTCTTTCCGCTTTTGGGCCAAGCAGATGATCCAAGATGATTTGGTCATAGGCCTTCCGTTCACTGGAATTCATGGTTCCAGTGGAGCGGGTCACAGGTGCGCAGCGTGCGCGTAGCGAGCAGCAGCTTGGTGTTGCTTGAGCCAAGGCGCAGATGAAGAATCTGGAGTTGAGGAAGCAGTTCATTAGTGAGGCCGGTTGAGAGGTTGAGAGGGTTGCAGAGTTTCTCTGCCACAGGGTGTGGTGTCAAGTGGTGTTTTTCGTTTTACAATCCATTTGGCTTCTCTAATGGTAAGGGTCTAATGGTTAGGTGGCAATCTTCCTGCATGTTGGCGCAAGGAACTGTCCGTCGTTTCACGGTGGCCTTGGCTTGGGGAAGTCTCTCGTTTTGAAGACGCCTCATGACACATCCACTGCACTTGACTGGGGGACCAGCGGACGAAGCCGAGAGAAGCCGAGAGGACGAGGATTTGGGACCCTCTGAGGGGGGATGGTGACCGACATGCGGATGGGTCGAAGACCTGGAATCCCACCTTCAGGTAGCTGGTCAACAAAGGTATTTTGGATGTTTTTGGACCCATAAACCGGCGATTTCAAGTTCTTCAACCATAATTCATACTTCCAAACGATGGCATTGTTTCGATCGACCGCTTTGTCGCGTTCTTTTCTAAGATGCGATCCTCGGTTGGCTTCGAAAGGGAAAGTCGGCATTTGAACCATTGGGTTTCACGGGATTTTAGTGGCTAAGCTTCCTGTTTCCCATCATGCGCCACGCTAGCCAAGAAATAGAACGATGCGTGTTTTTCGGCACACCACTGCTCATCCAAAACCTTGTAAGTGGAAGATGGCCCCAAAGCCTATAGATCCTTTCTTTTTCTCTGCGTGTGCTTTTTGGGCACCATGACGGAGTACTTGTACACGTTCACGCACCTGCGCCGCCCGGTTTCCGCACCTGGCAGCCCTTGGTGGTGGAGATCAGTGAGAAGGACCAAGTGGACATCGACATCGCCGACCTCCCGGGACTCAAGGACCGTCGCCGACCTGGGAGGAGGGGACCGTGTTCAGCTTCGGAGAGGCGCAGTTCGGCGCAGCGATCGGCGCCAAGCGCAAAAGCGAAAGCGAGGACCGGGTCGGAGAGGGCATCGTGAAATGGATCATTGAGAGGCTGCTGCGGCGTCTTTTTTCCTCAACACGGAAGCACAGTATAGTTATTTGAGTGACAATGCCCAGATACTCGGAATCATGGGAGATATCTCCGAAATTCTCCAAACATGCGCTGATTCTAGGAAGAAGGGGCGAGACTGCTCGCGAGCGAATGTCGATGGCCCGAATGCAGGATCGAAGCCAACCTGATTCAGAAGACATTGCGAAGATTGTGAAGGAATATCTTCGAAATGATCGGGTGATGCCGGTCGTTTTGTGCAAGGCGCGGAGTGGAATTGACGTTGATTTCGATGTGGCGGATGGTGAATTCAAGAACTGAAATTGCTGCGTTGACCAAATCCACGACTTGCACTTTTCACGTGTGGGTGTGGGCTAGGCGTTTTTGGACTTCTATCGGTGACTGGACGAACATTTCTGGGACAAATCATGAAGCCTCACGGCTTGGTCTGAGTGAAGGCCAGGTCACAGGGCCCTGTGCAGCGGGTGCGGGCGCCTTGTCGAGTTGAATTGAGACAGGACGGACAGACCAAGAGAGATGGGTTGACGTGACCAGGACCACAGGACCAGGTCGACCTGGGGTACCCAACTGGGATCATTGAACGTTCGGGTCCTGAAAAACCTCTGAACAGTGGGAGTTGTTGGGATGTGAAGTACCGGGAGGGTCAATCCAGGAGCTTCAGTCAGTGACCTTATAACTTTGAGATCCACAGCATTTTCACTCATGGCTCGTCCCAGGGCCGAGTTAGAGGTCACTGGCAGACTCCAGGCTCGAGGTCATGTACTGAAGCTCTTTGGTCCTTGGTGCTTGTTGGTGGATATATGCCGACATTGGTGGTCCTGGTGCTTTGTTGGTTGTGGGCTGTGGGTCACCAAAAGACTGACCTTGATTTGGTGTTGGTCGTTCGCTGGACTGTTCCTTCCTTCCAGTCCACCCATAGCCAGAGCACCTCTCGACCTGACGGCTCCGCAGCTGCCTCTCGACCTCAAACGCCGCCCGGGCGGGCCGGGTGAGGCGACCCCCGGCGCGGGTGAGGCGACCCCCGCCCCGCGCGACGTGCGGCGCTGGCGCTCCATGGAGGTCGGAGAGTGGCAGCTGATCAAGCCCAAGAGGGAAGATCCAGGGAGCCGGTTCCTGCACACGGCGGTGGTGTGGAACGATGAGATGGTGGTGTATGGAGGTTTTGTTGGTGCTGTAGGGAGAAGAGGGACGTGGAGCTTGAATTTGAAAGATCGAGAGTGGAGGCAGCTCAGCACTGACGGTGAAGAGCCTGAGCGCCGTGAGGAACACTCCGCCATCATGTGGCAGGATGAGATGATTATTTTTGGCGGTGCTGGCGGAGGGAAACATGTGTGTGACACCTGGGCATTGAACCTTCGAAGTCAAAAGTGGAAGCGGTTGGAGCCCAAGGGCGAAGTGCCAAAAGGACGATGTAGGCACTCGGCAGTCTTGTGGAAGGATCAGATGATAGTGTTTGGAGGCTTTGATGGAAGCAGCGGTTTGAGCGACACCTGGACCTTGGGGTTGAAATTGCAAGAGTGGACTTTGCTGAGGCCTATGGGAAAACTTCCAGGAGCGCATAGCGGACATTCTGCTGTGGTGCTTTCAGATCAGATGTTTGTTTTTGGTGGCCACTCAGGTGGAGCATCCAACAACATTTGGTGTTTGAATTTTCAAGCTCCAGAATGGATGCTGCTGAACATCACCGGCGACATACCGAAGCCACGCCACAACCATTCTGCTGTTTTGCTCGGCAACCACATGATCGTTTTTGGTGGAGAGGGTGACCATGGTTTCAACGAAACATGGAGTCTTGACCTGACCAACAACAAATGGAAGATGCACAGTTTGGGCAACCTGCCAACGGAACGGAGCAAACACCCCGCGGTTGTGTGGCAGCACGAAATGGTCATATTTGGAGGTGCTGGCGGTGGCGGAGGAAGCATGAGGAACGATACCTGGTCTCTGCGGCTGGTGCCGCCGTCCTCCCGCACGCCCCTGGCCCTCGCGACCACGCCGCGCCGACCTACGCCGCGGGGCGACGGCCTGGCGCCGACGCCGCGGGAGGAGGTGGGACTCGCAGCGGCGATGGGCGCGGTGACCGACCCGATGGTGGAAGAGGCCTGCCAAGCGATGGCCACGATGCCGGGCAACGCGGAGGCGCGGGGGGTTGTGACTGTGGGAAAAAAGAGGCGCATCGTGCAACGTAAGCGCCAGGTGTTTTTTGCTTTGCAAAGGGCTCGGGGGAAGCTCTTTCTTCATTCTTCTTCCTTGGAAGTGATGAACTTCTTCATTTACGGGTTCCAGCCATTTCTCCGTGTCGCTGCACCACCGGGCTGAGGTTCAGAAATGGGGATTGTTCACTTTGACCTACAGCAAGGGACACGAGCGAGCTGCTGCTGAAGCCAAAGCTGCCAAGTTGATCGTCGTGGCCATGAAAGCTCATGACAAGCATCCGCAGATCCAGGATTGGGGCAGCGTAGCACTGGCTGTTTTCTGTGCCTTGGATAGCTCGCCTGGCAAAGGAACACGTCAACCAAAACCTGTGGGTTCTAGGTTTTGCTTCTTGAGCCACACCCAGATCTTTCACTTTTCAGTTACTGTAATTATCCCATTGGGGACTGACTTGATGATTTCGGATGCTTCTTTCTATATAGCCGCCAAGCCATTACAGCCAAACGTTCGAAATTGTCCAGTGCACGCTGTGTATTCAATGATTTCGCACACAGGCGGCGCATGGCGGCGCAATCTTTATAGATAGTTTGAGGGACAGCTTGGCTTTCATGTGCTCTAGCGTGGGGCTAATTCAAAAAGCGGAGCTCCCCAGGTATGAGTGTTGCTTCTCTGGTGATTAGGTGGTTCGGCTAATTAGTTGGGCCCCCTTCATTCATCATCATTGAACTGGCCAAGAGAGCAGCGCTGCTGCTGCCCGAGAGTGGTTCGGGGGACGTGGCCCTGCAAGGGTGCCCTATAACCAACCAATCCCTAAAGTGACCTAGGTAGAAAGAGGACGAACATAATATAAAAATGTTTATGCACACTTACCATGTATCGAGGCCAGTTTTTCGTATTGATGCCCAGGAATCCCAAGCTGTTTCACTGGCTCCAGCGGCGTCTTCTCATGACGCCACGGAGGTTTGTTTTGGCCTTTGCTGCCAGTGACTCAGGTGCTGGAGCGGATCCCGAAAGCTGTCAGCGCAAGGAGGAGGCCATGTTGGAGGGAGCGCTGGAGGTTCTGGTGACGGCGACCTCCATGGCGACTCAGTTGGCACACCCGGTGTTTGAGATCCGCATGGAACCTGAACATGGGCCAGACTGGAAGAGTATATGCTTCTCTACAACCCACTGGTGTTCAGGTTCATAATATACTATTTTTGTGTTCCGGGCACCGGCCCGGCACCGGCCCGGCCACCGGCCCGGTCACCGGCCCGGTCACCGGCCACCGGCCCGGTCACGCCACCGGCCGGCCACCGGCCCGGCCACGGCCCGGCCACCGGCCCGGCCACCGGCCCAGCCCCGGCCCGGCAGTGTAGTTGGAATGACCACTTCCTTCTCTAAAATTTTCCCCTGCGTTGCCCACACAAAGGGATGTGTCAAGTTGAAATGGCAACATCCTTCTCTAAATTTTCCCCCTGCATGGCCCACAAAAGGGCTAGTCAACTTGGCATGGCCACTTCCTTCTCAAAAATTTACCCCTGCATTGCCCACAAAAGGGTGATTCTAGTTGGAATGACCACTTCCTTCTAAAAATTTTTCCCTGCATTGACCACACAAAGGGATGATTCAAGTTGAAATGGCAACATCCTTCTCTAAATTTTGCCCCTGCATTGCCCACAACAGGGTTAGTCAAGTTGAAATTTCAACATCCTTTTCTAAATTTTCTTCCTGCATGCGCCGCAAAAGGTTGAGTCAACTTGGAAGGGCCACTTCCTTCTCTAGAATTTACCCCTGCATGGCCCACGAAAGGGTGAGCCAAGTTGGAATGACCACTTCCTTCTCTACGACTCTACAATTTACCCTGCACTGCCCACACAAAGGGATGAGTCAAGTTGAACTGGCAACATCCTTCTCTAAATTTTACCCCTGCATTGCCGACAAAAGGGTGAGTTAAGTTCGAACGACCACTTCCTTCTCCAAAGTTTACCCTCAAGTGGCTCACCAAAGGGTGAGTCAACTTGGAACGACCACTTCCTTCTCTAAATTTTCCCCCTGCGTTGCCCTCAGACAGGGATGAGTCAAGTTGAAATGGCCACTTCCTTTTCAAAATGTTGCCCATGCATTGCCCATAAAAGGGATGAGTCAACTTGAAATGGCAACATCCTTCTTTAAATTTTCTCCCTGCATGCCCCACAAACGGGTGAGTCAAGTTGAAATGGCAACATCCTTCTCTAAATTTTACCCCTGCATTGCCCAGAAAAGGGTGAGTCAAGTTGGAATGACCACTTCCTTCTCTAAATTTTACCCTGCATTGCCCACACAAAGGCATGAGTCAAGTTGAAATGGCAACGTCCTTCTCTAAATTGTACCCCTGCTTTGCCGACGAAGGGGTGAGTCCACTTGGAAGGGCAACTTCCTTTTCAAAAATTTACCCCTGCATTGCCCACAAAAGGAGTCAAGTTCGAAAGACCACTTCCTTCTCTAAATTCTACCCCTGCGTTGCCCACACAAAGGGATGAGGCAAGTTGAAATGGCAACATCCTTCTCTAAAATTTACCCCTGCATTGCCCACACAAAGGGATGAGCCAAGTTGAAGTGGCAACGTCCTTCTCTAAATTTTACTCCTGCATTGCCGACAAAGGGGTGAGTCAACTTGGCGTGGCCACTTCCTTCTCTAAATTTCACCCCTGCATTGCCCACAAAAGGGTGAGTCAAGTTGGAGCGACCACTTCCTTCTCTCAAGTTTACCCTCAAGTGGCTCACCAAGGGTGACTCAACTTGGAACGACCACTTCCTTCTCTAAATTGTACCCCTGTATTGCCGACAAAGGGGTGGGTCCACATGGAAGGGCAACTTCCTTCTCAACCTTTTACCCCTGCATTGCCGATCACAGTTTGAGGCCACTTGGCCTCCAAACAGGCGAGTTTGAAGAGCCAGCTCGTGCAATCAATTTGTATAAATATATGTATACAAGTATGCAATGAGACCATCATGTATAAAGCGGTGTCCAAAACCTTTCAATATCTTTCAAGCGGCATTCCTTGGTTACCTCTTTTGGGGCCATGTTCTGGTTGTTTCTGGCTTCCGAAGCAGACACCAGGCTACAGCTTGCTAATGTGGTGCAGTTGCAAGCTGCGGCTTAGAGCACCAGCCATGGACCTGGGTCAGTCCGAAAAAAAGGGCTAGGCAGCAGCAAGGCGTCTCATGGTGTTTTGACATCGATATTTTAGCATCAAGTAGACGTGTCAATCTTGCAGGCGTCAGGTGGATGTGGCTGTGTTGCAGCTGATGTTCAGTCAAGTTAGAAATTCCAGGAGGTCTGAGTCCGAGCACGGAAATGGACCTACGCTAGAGGGGGGATTAAACGGGCCACCGACACCGGCGCCGGCTATACCGCACCGGGCACCGGCCACCGGCCCGGCCACCGGCCACCGGCCACCGGACCGGGCACCGGCCACCGGCCACCGGCCACCGGCCACCGGCCACCGGACCGGCTACCGGCCACGGGCCACTGGCCACTGGCCACCGGCACCGGCCACCGGCCACCGGCCACCGGTCACCGGCACCGGCCACCGGCACCGGCCACCGGCCACCGGCACCGGCC